AAAATGATACTTCGTAAGGATAGTCGCCCAAATTCCGACTCGCAAAAACAAGTGGAAAATCGTCTAAGTTAAAAATTAAACTTCGTAAAGACAGTCGGCCAAATCCCGACTTGTAAAAACAAGTGAAAAATCTTCTAAGTTAAAAATTAAACTTCGTAAAAACATTCAGCCAAATTCCGACTTGTAAAAACAAGTGTAAAATCTTCTAAGTTAAAAATGATACTTCGTAAGGATAGTCGCCCAAATTTCAACTCGCAAAAACAAGTGGAAAATCTTCTAAGTTAAAAATTAAACTTCGTAAAGACAGTCGGCCAAATCCCGACTTGTAAAAACAAGTGGAAAATCTTCTAAGTTAAAAATTAGACTTCGTGAGGACAGTCGGCCAAATTCTGACTCGCAAAAACAAGTGGAAAATCTTCTAAGTTAAAAATTAAACTTCGTAAAGACATTCGGCCAAATCCCGACTTGTAAAAACAAGTGGAAAATCTTCTAAGTTAAAAATTAAACTTCGTAAAAACATTCGGCCAAATTCCGAGTTGTAAAAACAAGTGTAAAATCTTCTAAAGTTAAAAATTAAACTTCGTAAAGACAGTTGGCCAAATCCCGACTTGTAAAAACAAGTGAAAAATATTCTAAGTTAAAGATTAAACTTCGTAAAGACATTCGGCCAAATTCCAACTTGTAAAAACAAGTGGAAAATTTGCAGTTAAAAATTAAACTTCGCAAGGTCCGTCGGCCAAATTCCGAGTTGAATGATGAATAGAAAAATTTCTAAGTTGAAATGAAATTTAACTAAGATGATCGTCCAAATTCCGAGTTGATGTGGTGAAAATGAATCCGGTTTAAAATCCTCTTTGACTAGACCTATCTCCCAAATTTCGAAAGGGGGACTAAGTTTCAACTCCCTCTTATTAATAAAATGTATCTTCCCAATTCCGATTTCAGGGTGAGCAAAGAGTCTCGATTGTCATGAATTTTGCTCAAGGATATACTCGCCCAGTCAAATTTTTACCGATCAATCACGAGTTTGGTCTTCGAGTTATTTATACTCGCCCAGTCGGATTTTACCGATCAATCACGAGTTTGGTCTTCGAGTTATTTATACTCATCCAGTCGGATTTTTACCGATCAATCACGAGTTTGGTCTTCGAGTTATTTATACTCGCCCAATCGGATTTTTACCGATCAATCACGAGTTTGGTGCCTTTAAAATAACACATGTTAGGAATGAGAGAAGAAAAAGTAGGGGGTGATGTTTATTGAAATGAGAAGTTATTAGTTGATGGTGCCTCGTTAAAAACCTTCTCAGCAAAAAACCCCTCACATTTTTATTGGGAAAAAATACTGAGCTAGGAAAAGAGTGCACCTGATACAAATGAACAATACTAGCTATAATAGAAACTCAGATTTGCAGCATTCCAAGTTCTCGGTATCTTTCCACCATCAAGCGTCTTCAATCGGTAAGCTCCCTTGCCGACTACCTCCTCAATGCGGTACGGGCCGACCCATTTAGGGGACAACTTGTTCTTGAGTTGAGTCAGCTGTGCGCGTTTCAAGACAAGATCTCCTCCAACAAAGCTTCGTGGGACGACCTTCGAGTTATACTTGAATGCTGCTTGTCGTTGTGCCGCTACCTGATTTATTCGGGCTCTATCTCTTGATTCGGCAATCAAATCAAGATCAACTCGTCTTCCCTTGTCGGATTCCTCCTCGGTGAAGCATGTTGCGCGCATGGATGGTTCCTTTAGCTCAACTGGTATCATGGCGTCTGTTCCGTACACCAAGTTAAATGGAGTGTCTTGGGTGGATGAGTGAATAGTCGTGTGATACGACCACAATACTCTAGGGAGTTCATCCACCCATGACAAGCCTGAATTTTCAACCCTCTTCTTGATTCCGGAGAGTATGACGTTGTTCGCCGATTCTGCTTGGCCGTTGGACTGGGGGTGCTCAACAGAGGTGAACATCATCCAGATTCCGATCTCTTTACAAAAGCTTTGAACTCTTTCACTAGTGAATTGTGTTCCGTTATCCGATACCAACACTTGTGGGATACCGTATCGACATATAATGTTCTTCCATAAGAAAGTTCTCACCCTTTCGGCCGAGATGGTCGCTACTGGTTCCGCCTCAATCCATTTGCTAAAGTAATCCACCGCCACGATTAAGAATTTTAATTGGCGTACAGCCATCGGAAAGGGACCTAAAATATCAATCCCCCACTTGTTAAAAGGCCATGGAGATATGAGCGAGTGGAGTCTTTCGGCAGGTGAATGATGTTGGACCGCGTGTCTTTGGCATTCATCGCATTTGCGAACCCAATTGATGCAGTCTTTTCGTAAAGTCGTCCAGAAGTAACCTGCTCGTGTTACCTTGTACACAAGAGATCGACCTCCGATATGGCTTCCACACATCCCCCCATGAATTTCTTCGCGATGCCGTTAAGCACCTCAACAGAGGGGCACTGAATGCCCTTCGGTACAGTATCTCCGACAAGATCACGAACCTCGCCGACTCCCTCGTGATCAATGATGCTTCATGCTTATCTTCAGGCAATGATCCTTGTGTCAGGTACAAGATGTACGGTGTCATCTAAGACTCTTCCTCTTCTTCAATAGCCAACACCTCGGCGAAAGAACCATTGATGCTTGGTTGGGACAAGACTTCTTGGATGACCGAGCGCGTAGCTCCCGGTCTCTTCGTGCTTGCTAGTTTTGAGAGGAGATCTGCTCGTGAATTTTGCTCCCTAGGAACATGGTTCAATGAAAACTTGGTGAAGTCGGCCGACATGACCTTTACTTTTTCCAGGTACTGAGCTAGTTGAGGATCCTTCGCTTGGAACGTTCCTGCTACCTGCCCCGTCACAAGTTGTGAGTCGCTCCTAGCCGACAGGCTTGTTGCGCCCCTCTCCTTTGCCAAGGTCATCCCTGCCAATAGCGCTTCGTACTCTGCTTGATTATTACTCGCCCGAAACTCAAACCGCAGTGATTGTTCCAAGAGTATGCCTCCGGGACCCTCAAGGATGATCCCGGCTCCGCTACCACCCAAATTTGAAGCTCCATCGACAGACAGGATCCACTCACTTTCTCCAGAAGAATCTTCTTCAGCCGGCGAGCTCAATTCTACTAAGAATTCGGCAAGCGCTTGAGCTTTGATGGCTTCTCTCGGTTCATACTTGATTGCAAACTCCAACAACTCGACTGACCATTTCATCATTCTTCCAGCGAGGTCGGGCTCTTGCAAGACTTGCCTGATCGGGTAGTCTGTTCGGATTACTACTTCGTAGCTCTGAAAATAGTGTCTGAGCTTTCTTGCGGTTACCAATATGGTGAATGCCAGCTTCTCGATTTTTTGATAGCGAGCCTCCGCCCCTTGCAACACCCTGCTAACAAAATAAATAGGCATTTGAGAATTACCTTTTTCTTGCACTAAGACTGCACTGACGGCGTTGTCTGACGCCGACAAGTATACCAACAAAGGGGAGTCGGTTTGTGGTTTGCTGAGGATTGGTGGTGGGGGGGGAGCCTATTTAAGCTCGCCGAATGCCCTTTCACATTCGTCTGTCCATGCAAAGCGATCGTTCTTCCTTAAACACTGGAATAAGGGTAACAACTTGTCCGCTACTTTGAGAGGAACCGAGAAAGGGAAGCCATCCTCCCCGCCAACTGTTGGACCTCTTTTACTGTTGCAGGACTTCTCATGTTTATTATCGCGGAGCATTTATTAGGATTCGCTTCGATGCCACGGTGAGTCAATAAGAAACCGAGAAACTTCCCTGCTTGGACGCCGAAAGAACACTTCGCCGGATTCAACTTGAGTTGATAACGTGCTAAAGTGTCGAACGACTCTTGCAAGTCGGCGAAATGCCGAGAGACGTTGTCCGACTTGACCACCATGTCGTCTACGTATGCCTCCGCGTTCCTTCCAAGCTGTTCTGCCAAAACCTTGTCCATAAGCCGCTGGTATGTCGCTCTGGCATTCTTCAGGCTGAAAGGCATGACCCTGTAATAGTAAGTGGCCTGATCGGCTATAAAGGCCGTTTTGTCCTCATCAGCAGGATGCATTCTAATCTGGTTGTAACCCGAGTAGGCGTCCATGAAGCTCAGCAATTCGTACCCCGAGGCACTGTCGACTAGGCAATCTATATTTGGCAACGAGTACGAGTCTTTCGGGCAAGCTTTATTTAGGTCAGTAAATTCTGTGCACATCCTCCAGTTTCCATTGCTCTTTTGTTCCATTACCACATTCGCCAGCAACGTTGGGTATTGGATTTCCCGAATGTGACTGGCCGCTATCAACTTCTTCGTCTCCCCCGCAATAGCCTTCCTTTTATCTTCGCCGAACTTTCGCCTTTTTTGGATCACTGGCTTCGCTTTGGGGTCAACCATGAGGTGGTGACATAAGAAATTCGGGTCGATACCTGGCATGCCGCCAGCACTCCACGCGAAGGCCGATACGTTGCTTTTTAACATAGCCACCAGTCCTTCCTCGTCTTCTTTAGTTAAAGACACACCAATCTTGACTGTTCTTCCCTCGGCCAAGCTAACTTCCTTCACGTCCTCCGCCGGGGCTGGTCGGGAATCGAAGTGGATGATCCTCGGATCTAACTCAATGGATTGGACGCCCCGGTCAACCTGTGTCACGTACAAATGCCTCCTCGCCCTCAAACTATCCTCATAACACTTCCTTGCAATCTCCTGATCTACACAGAGGACCCCGACCTTCCCGCCGGGCAAAGGATACTTCAACTTCAAGTGGGGTGTGGAGACAACCGCACCCAACTTATCCAACGTGGGGCGACCGACTAGTATGCTGTAGGACGACTGGGCATTCACTACCAAGTATCGGATGGTGATAGTCTTCATGTGGTCTCCCTGCCTAAACGTTGTTTCCAAATCGGCGTACCCCCTGGCCGTCACCTGATCTCCTGCAAAACCAACCAAAGTACCTGCATATGGCATAAGGCGGTCGATCGAGATTTTCATCCCGACGAATGCCTCCTAGAACATGATATCCGCTGAGCTGCCCTGATCTACCAGCACACGCTTCACATTGTAGCCCATGACTATCGCTGAAACAACTATGGGGTCGTCCTCATGAGGGGACACCCCTTCAAAGTCGGCGTCCGAGAACGTGATGGCTGGCCGAGTCGGTCTCGCCCACTCCGAGACCGACAACACCGAGCGAGAGTATCTCTTCCGTGCTGCTGATGTAGGACCTCCTCCAGCGAATCCCCCCGCTATGGTGTTAAAGTCTCCATGGACAACCTGCTGGTGGGTCTCTAAACTCTTCTCTGGAATATCTCTCGGAGGAGACCTCCCTTTGTGTCTTCCTCCCCTCGTATCTTCCCCTTCATGCTTGCGTCGTCTGTCAGACGAGTCTTCATCATGCTTACCTGCGATGAACTTCTTCAAGCGACCCTCCTTGATGAGACACTCAATCTGTCTACCAAGAACAAAGCAATTCTCCATAGTATGTCCATGGGTCCGATGAAATTCACACCAGTCGGTCTTATAAGGACCCAACTGACGATCAGTCGCCGCCGGGAACTCGAAAAGTGACGCGTTGTTGACGTCATGGAGTATGTGCCTCCTGGGAACGTTGAGTGGGGTGAACTTTTCCTGTTCGTTGCTTCGTGTCCACTCGCCCTTCGCCCGACCACCATAGTCCGTCTGCCTGCGATTCCCCTCCTTAGCATCGTAGTGATCACGTCGCTTATTCCAATCTGAGCGCACCCGGAGGTGCTTGTTGCCCTCCTTACTACTGCCCCCTTCCTCTCGGCTTTCAGCTGCTCTTTTCATGATTTGGTTTTCCTCCGTCTTGATGTGACTCAGGGCGAAAGCCCTCACCTCCGACATTGTTTGACAATTTGCTTTTTCGAGCGTGATGTCGAAAGCTCCGGACCTTAAACCCTTCTGGAATGCAATGACCGCCATCCTTTCATCCAACGACGTTATCCTCAAGGCGACCTCGTTGAACCTTTGCAGAAAGTCCTTCAGCGACTCCTCGCGCTGCTGCTTGAGGTCGAACAAGTCCGACGTGATTGGTGGTTTCTTCTTGTTGGCGGCGAATTGTGCCATGAAGAGCCGACTGAAAACATCGAAGTCAGTGATTGATCGGTCAAGGAGACCACTAAACCAATCAAGTGCTGCCTTTTTGAGTGTGCCCATGATCAATTTGCAGCGAACTTCCATACTCCCTCCACAAATCAACATTTGAGCTCGAAAATTCGTCAAATGCTGACTGGGATCCTGCGTTCCATCAAAAGGCTCGACTTGGGGTATCCGATGATCCCTGGGGATGGTCTCGACCTCTATGGCTTCCGAGAAAGGTCGAAAACCCCTGGGGACTTCCAACATGCCATCCTCCCCCACCGTCCTGGTACTGGCCGCTATTCTGGCCTGCATCTCGTCTGCTCGCCCCCTGATTTCCTCGTTCTCGCGTTGAATGGCCTCCTCTCTCTCCCTGGAACGCGCATTTTCCTCCCGTAAGCCATTGATCGTGGCCATCATCTCCTCCATGGTAGGGTGTTTTGAGTCATTGTTTGACGTGCCGCCTCTCGCCATGGTAAAGTGCGAGTTCTTCTATATGACTTGGGGCGTAGGAGAAGTTTCACCGTAGCCCCACGGTGGGCGCCAAAATGTTCCGGCCAAGGGATGGACTAGGGTTTTTTCCTTGATCAAGCCTCCGAGCCAGAGCATTCAAAAGTGTAATCTGTCATCTCAACTCTAGGGTTTTAGGTTATATAGTTTCTTTTTTATGGGCCTCTCGGGCCCCGAGAATGTAGGGATTTTCTTAACCGTTCTTATCCGTAAGATACTTGATGAAAGGGTGGGGCCTTACCCTTGCTATGGGATGGTATCAATATAGGTAGTCGGCCTCGGTTCCCGACCGACTAGGACCATTTAGGGGACCTAGTCGGTTATTGACCGAGTAGGTTCTTAGGCAAGCGGGGTCAGTATATGATCGGCCAGGCTCCCGCGGAGGGGTACAGTCAGATATAGACCGAGTACCTCTAAAAGAGGGGGTCGGTCTAGGTTTTAATCGGTCTGCCACATGTGGTGAAGTCAGGTCGGACCACGTTGACCAGTCAGATCCCGACCGGGATGGTCCAGTTGCATTAGTTGATTTTGAATCAATATTAATAATAATGTAGTCACCAAACTATCATCAAAATCTTTGGAGAACCTGATAATGTAAAAATAAAGACAAACTCTTTTAGGGATTTAGTTAAAGTATCAACATACCAAGACAAGACAAAGTCAATTAAGAATGCAATATAAATAGGTAAATCACAGTTTCTCATTTTTAACTGTGGAAGAAATTTCTATTGATTTTACACAGCAAAAACACTTTTTGTGACAGTGTTACAACAGACAATTGGCGGACCAAGAAAAAAATGTATTAAATTTGTTCGTCCTGATACCGAAACTTGTAAATTTATGTATAGAATCAAAATTAGGAGTATAAATGTATCGGGTAGAATTTTGACTATTTTTAATATTTAATCTAATTAAATTTAATTAAATTGCATTGGGTCGAGTTTGTGAACTCTTTTTTAAAGTGATCAAACTCAATCCAATTTCACTAAAATCGAGTTGGGTCAAAAAGAGTTATCAAATTGAAAAAAAAAATACAATTGAAAAATTATTTTTTTTAGTCTATGCCTTCTTCAATTAAGTTAATAATCTCATTTCATCAATATTTGGTGAAAAACAAGTAGAATTAAATATATATGTAAATGAGTGTATTTTACATCGTGTTGTGTGTAATATTTTTAATTTATTTTAATAATTTATTATAGATCAAGTTAATTTGAATTTATTTTGTAGGAAATCTCTTGACTTATTACTCAACCCAATTATAATTAGTTAATGTAAAAATTATCCAACTCAACTTGATGATCTAACTTAACCCCAAAAATGTAATTGGGTTAGTTTAGCTAAGTAAAGTTTATAGGTGAATCATTATCGACATACACTCTAAACAAAATAGTAAAGTCATAAACATAGTGACAAAAATGATAATTAAATTATAAAATATTACAATTCATCTAAGAAACTTATTAAAATATAATCATTTATTTGTTAGAAGTATTTTAATAAATTAGAAATTTGATTTTCTAAAAATAATAGTTTTAAAATGTATTTTCTAAGAAAAAAATAAGTTAAAGTGAATTAATAAATTCCTTTACCTAATCAACTCTTATATTTTAAATATGAACAATTATCTTGCACGATATTACTTTTAAGAGTTTTTTTCAACAATGAAAATTTTAGGATTTTTCTTAACTTCTTGTCTAATTCGATTTTTATTTATCATAATTATTTATGAATTAAATTTTAATATGTTAAAATAAATCAACTCCTACATATTAAATACTAATGATTATCTTGTGTGAGTACATTTTTAAAGTTTAATTAGAGTGTTTGTAGAGATTCTTATAACTTTTATGTAATTCAATTTTTTATTTATCACCTTTATTTATGAATTAAATTTTAATATTTTAAAATAAATCATTAATAATTAAAAATAATCTTGTACCACAATATAAATTATTTGTCTTAATCTAAAATATAATTTATATATTTTTAAAATATTTATAACTTTTTCAATATAATGTATATATTCTAATATAATACTTTTTTTTTCTGTATATATAGTTTATTATAAATTGTAATTATATATAATAAATATTTAGTTTGTAAAATACACAAATTAAAATACTAGTTACTATTACATTTTTATTTACATTGTTACGAGGTTAAAAAACAAATGCAAAAAGAATATAAAGTATAACTATAATTATTTAAAATATTTGTAAAATCTCAGTCATGAATATATATAACATAAATATAGCAAAATATTATAATTATAGTGAAATATCCGTGAAACTATTTTTTTTCGTTGACTTCCACTGATAAAGAATTTGTGAAGTTGTGAAGACTGCTTTGTCTTCATCAAAGCTTACACGTGCTTTGAGGTTTAAAAAGGAGACAACTTGCCTTTCTAAACTATATATTCTTAAAGAAAATCTATTCGATAGTGATAAAACCTAACACGGCCTACCACAACCCAAACATTTTAATATGAATCATTAAATCCAGTTGATAATATAATAAAACCTAATAGAGTCACAACTCAAACACTACAAGAGATGGACATTAAATCATAAGTTCGAATATCATGTTAACTATTTAAATTTTTGAGAATTTAAATCTTTGAAGGGAAGGGTCCACATTCATATTGTATGATTCTTTAGATGAATAACCTATTCAAAAAATGGCGCGGAACAATAAAATATGGTAGATGAGATGATTATGAAAGTCAATATATACTTAAGATAATAATTGAGTAGGTTAAGATGTAGTAGGTCAAATACCTAATTGCTTGGAGAGTTAAGGTATTTTAATAGGTCTTAGTTACCTAGATCATATAGTCACCTACAATTAGACTAAGTTCTCATGGAAAAACTTGAAAGATTACCAAATAGAACATGAGAACAATTTATATTGATGATACAACTTTAAATGAATAATCTAAATTATTTAATTAGTTCCAATATTTACCATTTATTTAAATTACATGACTGAAATTCATTTCTTTCACTTTTTTTCACCTAGTACACTTCTATATACAGAGGGAAAGAATAAGCATCCGTTTGTTTGTTTGTTTTTTTTTTAACTCTTATAAAAACGCTTTTTTCTTAAATAAAATACGCATTTGTTTACTTTTTTGATGTGTTTGTCTAAATTTTTCTTTTCAGTTTTCTGTTTCTTTTTAAGAAGCAACTCCTTTTAGATTCTTTAAAAAATTGTTTTTTTCAAAACACATGTTTAAAAGCACTTTTTTTTTCAAGTTTAAATAAAAACCTAAATTATCTCATGCATGGGCCAAAATCAACAGGGAAAGCAGACTACTGTCTACCACTATCACCCACCCATCAGGTGACTTATCATTCCAATATCTATTACAACATTTTCAAAATTCTTTATGCGCATCACTAAGGGATGGGTTTTATTCTTTTAGTATTTTCTCTATTTTCTTTCTATTCTCAAAACTGTCTAAAACTTGTTCATGCATAATTACACCTTTACACATTTTTTCTATGGAAAATGAGAAAAGAGAGATTCAAGGGGTTATATTTTATGTTTATAAAACAGTGGACTGTACCATCTCGATTCCTCGTGTTTCTATGTATGCTCTACCGAAACTCATTAGGCTTGAATTGTGTACTCCGTCGTCTCAGGCTTCCTTGGGTCCAATCAGGTGGGAGCTTGCACGAAGTGTTCTCTTTGATGGAACTATCTTCTGTGGTGCCACGGACTTTCTGTTGCTGAACGTTTAGATGATTCAACAGAATAGCCTTCTTTGCTGCAAGAATAATCCTTGTTAAGAGTTTTCACAAAACTACAGATATGACAAAGACAGACATGGCAGAACTTGTGCGTAGGGGTGAAACCAGCCATTGTTGGGGAGTGCAACTGGTGTAAAAATTTATTCTTTTATAATCAACTTACGGTAGATTGAACCACCGTTGTGACCAAGTTTTTGTTCTTTGGGGGTGGCAATGTCCCCTTAATCACGACCGTGGTTGCACCCCTGCTTGTTAGGTTAGTTGGAACTTGTAAATCTCAACATTGGTGACATAATTGAAGTATGAACTTGATAGGTACAGTAGTCGAGGGCCTTAGTTGATTGTTAGATTCAGTTAGTTTGTTAGGGGAGTTGGATAATGAGAAATAAAGAATATTGCCTATAAAATATTAATAGGAGGAAGGTATGAGAGATGGGGCTATCCTGTTAACTGAGAAGAGTTAGGGCCTTTGGGCGTTGGATTTTGTGCTTTAGGAGATGCAGACCCTCAAAGTTCTGCAATCATACTTTAATCAGGGGAATTTCCCTATTTTCTCAATAAATTAGATCTAGTTTCTCTATCAGAACTCTATAAATACAAATTGGACAAGCATTACCAATTTAGGTCAATACATTAATTTATTCTTTTATGTTACTGTATTTTAAAATGTTATATTTGAATTGCAAAACAAATTAGTCAAGATTCACTAGGGCTTTGACTAAATAAGGAACTGGAGAGCAATGATTCCCGAGCCACATACGTGACTTGAGTAAGACGTGAGGGGTTTGGAATAATTTTCAGGAAGGTTTAAGACTTCTATATGGCCATGAATCTGATAAAGAAAGAAACCACACAATCTGACAAGAACAATAGGATGGAAACACAGAGGGAGATGAAAGGAAAGCTTACTCGTACTGTAAACTTGATATCTAATCAAAATCTTAAGAGAAACTGGCAGTAGTAACCATGAATTTACCAGCAGAATTTGGCAATGCATGTTCATTTATCTAAAGATGTAGAAATGTTAAAACATGAGAAAATCCTCCTCTACTGGTTCATCTTCATTTAGATAACATGGTTCATAATTGTCAACCCGGGATTGAACAGCCTGAAAAAAATTGAATATAGAAATATTATACAAGGATCAACTTACTCGGCACTTTGATTTCTTCAAGTTCTCCAGCAATTCAGCAATCTCAAGCTGCTTCATTACTGCAGCATGTAGTACCTGCAATAAAAGCACAAAGTTAAACACCATCTTATCAGATCAGAATAATCAAAAGTTCTACATGACTGGGAACATATAGATCAATACCCTCTTGGTCTTTTCAAGGTCAAACTCAACAGATTTAATCCTATCCATGGAATCCATAAGCATTTGCTCCTTTTCCAGAGGCATACCATCAGGTTTGTTGTTAAGTTCCTCAAAGACTTTTTCTAGTCTCTGAAGACGTTGTACACATGGATGAATATAATCTCTTTCAGAAGCTGCTTCTACCACTGCTGAATGGTTATTAATGTTACGTTCCATGGTAATTGATGGGTGAACATTGTTCTGTGCTCTCCAAAATTCGCATCTAAAATAACGGACGAGTGTAACTAGTTTTTCCATGAAAAATGTCAGCACTCTTGCTACATACCAGACATTTATTTTCTCAACTTTTTCCTTTACAATGCTGAACCAATTGCTGACAGAAGTACCTGACAAAAATTGGGGTAGTGTGAGTTCAGCAGATAAGGGCACTACTGAAATACTTACCAAAAAAATCAGTTAAAACTAACATGAATGATAGCTAGCATGAGTTTCCAACTTCCATATTCAAATATGACAAGGTATATCTGCAACTTGGTTTCCACATAGCATATAAATATAATTTCTTCAATAATTTCATGACAATACCTCCTGAATCTGTTCTACAAGCAACATTCCCTGTATCATTAGCTTGCATTGTCTGTGCTCGATTAAGGTCATCACTTTCAACCACTTTCTCAACTGCTAGAGCACTATCATCACAACTGTAGTAGCCATTGACATCTGGTGCTTTAACCTACAGAAGATACAACGTTAGGTATGATTGAAAAAACAAGACACAACCATACATAACATTAGGTACAGACAAGAATGAAAAATCTCAAATAAATCAGATTCAAGGGTTTCCAAACTGACTTCTTCATGAACTGGGGCTAAATGAGGATAAGGACAGCTACCCTGTCTGTTGGGAGAAGAGTAATCATTAATATCAGACCCTGATTCAGCTGTTGATGTATCACTGCATCGTTCCTGAGAGATGATATAAAAAGGTTATAAGCCCACATATCTAATAAAGTAAAGTGAAGACTTGTGAAATCCCAACTTCCCAAAGCCAAGAAGACCGAGACTTGCCTTCAGTAGATGCATTTGAAAGGAGACAGTTTTCTGTTGTCCATTGGGCACTCTGGTGATTTGTCTCACAAATGTTGCCTCCGCATTATGTACCAGCTAAATATCAGAATATCTCATATTAGTTGACCAAATACTAGTTTGACAAAGCTAACAAATGTAAATAGGAAACAAGATTTCCAAAAAAAAAAGAAAAAGAATTACCTTCATGATATCAGAATCATTCCATGGACCCTTGTTGGACCGAAGACATCCACCTTCTGCAGCACATGTACAAGAACCACCCAGAAAGTCTGGCAACTGACTGTATAGATTCATTTACAAAATCCAAATTAATCAATAAGTTGAATAGAAATTACAATGCAGTATGATGGAGGCACAGATGTATACCTAGAGTCAATAACTTCCAGTAATTTACATAAAGATTTGGGTTCAAGAATCTGAAAATTTGGGAAATGAATGTAAAGTCAGTGGCACTGCAGAAGATCTTATGAAGTATTAGCTGAAGGTTATATTCTTCACCTGTATCTTCGCAATAGTTTTGGGATCAAGAAACTTTTGTGCAGCAGGCCAAAGAAGCTTCTTAAAGCCAGAACCAGCATTGACAACATACATTTGATGTAATGTCTGCAAATATACACTATGAAGTTTATATAGAATGGATGAGCACTGAAAAGAAGTTAATTTGGGAAAGGATGGGACAATAACCTCAGGATAGTAACTGCTATCTATTTTTGTCATAGCAGACAAGAGATTTGCAGCAGTACGTGAGAAATTTTTCATTCCCTGCATCACACATATCAAGTGCCAGCTAAAATTTCAGCAGAAAAACATTTCAACAACTTCAAACAGGGAAGTTCCTAAAATAGAAACACCTGATCAGGAACAACCCCTCAGTAAATAGATTCGATTGTAAAATGTTTACAGCAGACATACTTGATAAAATGCTCAAAGGATAAGTACATAAATAATCTACTATAAGAAGGCGGCATAAACTATCAGGCATACAAAGAGAAACAACAACAGAAACACCTGATATTAGTGATAAGGTACAGAAATAATTTTGTAATGCAACATACCAAGCCCTGTACATCCAATATTGTTGTTGTTGAAGATATTCGTCTCTTTGCTGCAATGGAGCATGCTGGAAACTTCTCCTGTAGGGTCCTTTCAAACTCCTGGACGTGGTATTTCAAATATCGATCTATTGTAGTGATGTGCATTAGGCGACTTGGATGGGCTTTCCCAAGTCTCTCAATGTAAACAGGCCTACCTTCCTTATCAATTCCATGGTACCCTTGAGGATAATACTGCAATACTTCTTCCAGCTCTCCAAATTCAAAATCCTTCAAATATCATCACCACATTCACATCAAAGCCAAATAGAGCATGTATTGATTGCCTTCTATCATAGAAAATATGCTGATGCTGATGCTGAATCATTCAAAGATTAAAAAGGCAAAGAATTATGTTTTATCAAGGACCAACTTCCCTAAAGGCTTAAGTCATGAGGTAAAAATGGATGGTTTTATATCTAAAATGCCCCCCACGCATGAACTATTTATTCTTGATGCATGGACAGAACTTGGGGAACAGAGATCAAACTCTTGACCACTTGATCATAGAACCTAATGATGTCAAAGCCCAACTCTCCTAAAAGCTTAAGCTGTTAGGTGGAAGCCCATCAGTGGTTTTATTATATCTAACATGCAAACTTTGCCTTGCAAAGAAATTGAACTTATCTATAGAAGAATTGGGCAGCAATAACAGAACTCTTGAGCCTTGACCACTTTGCATTTGATTGGTCATAAAAGTGCTAATATCATGTCAAGGGCCAATTCTCATAAAAGTTAAGCTGTGAGGTGGAGGCTCATGAGTGGTTTTGTATCTAAGTCTAACTTGTCTAGGTTACAGAAAAAAACAAACTCAATTCATAATCTTCAAAACCAGATAAATCAATTGATTATGTATTATTGACACACTGAAACACTCTGCAGTCTAAAGCAGACTATACCTTCATTGGCTATGACATAAATTACTATCATTACCTCAAGGATGGCATCAGTTCCATATTCTTTTCGCCATGTAAGCATTTCTTCCCACATGTGAATTGTCTTCTCAATGTTAAAGTCCCTAGCTTTAAGAAACCTACCAAAAAGTAGAGAGCATCAGTGCAAAAGTGAGCCAAAAAAAACATTTGATATTTGGTTGTACCATTTTGAATTGATGAAATACCTTAACAATGTATGATAGTCATCGTGCCTAGGAGGTAAAGATCCTCTCTCCACGAGTTTTTGGCGCAATTCATGGACAGCAGTCTCCTCCCGCGCATCTCTTACATCCTCGATGGACACCAACGGAACCCTATAATCAATTTTCCTTTTCCCTCTTTTCTTAAGAGAATGAGTGAATCTAGATGACGCATTTATTGCCTTCTTCTTCAAGGTTCCAATTCTTGATCGCCTTCTCTCGTCTTCAGAGTTCTCAACATCTGACCTCCTCTCCCTAATCTCATCATTACTACATTGCCCTTCAAATCCTTTCGCACCACATTCCATTCAATCAATAACCATTGAAACAATACCATCATCAGCTAATTACACTCACAAAGCCACGCAGCCCACGCCAATCACAATTCACAACATACATGAAAAACACTACAAATGGCAAAGAAAAAGCAGAAAATACCTGACATTGACATTTTAGTCCCAGCACAAAACCAATGACAGTTGATCCTAATCGTTGAATCGGGGAATCAAATTCACACCAAACGCCGTCATATCATAAATCACTGATCCACATCCACACACAACCAAAAATTAAAAATCACAGAAAAACCCCAGAAAGCAAATGCATTTAAAAGCCACAATTAGTACCTAATATTTCACTGAATTTAACTTGTAATGTACATGAAGTCTTAAAATAAAATGTAGAATCATTGAATTGATAGAATCTAACAACAATCTAGAGGCAAATCCAACAAGATGCAAGAATTGTCATTTATAAACCTCTTCAAGCTGTTTCACTTGCTCCTTCTGTAACCTCAATGACACAGCGAGTGATCACTCTAGATTCCAAAACGACCCGTCGTTTTGCAAGGTGAAAAGTTAGGAGATTGCAGTAGTACAAAGCCAATAACAATACCCAAAGAGTTTTTTTTTTTTTTAAATTAATTTTTGTATGGTTTATAACGAAGAGAGAGATGTGAAGTTGGTGAAGGAAGGCATTATACACATGACATGAATATGAAAATGAAGCAGAAAGGATCTTATTGTATACACAGAGAAATGAATTAATTAATGTCATGGTTGGATCGTGATTGCATTTATTTATTTTCTTTCCCAAGACCAAACTTTACTCAACCATAACCGCATTCAATTCCTTTTGCTATGTTTCGTTTTTCCATTTTTCCTCAATCTCACATCACCTATTCATTCACAACCACGAACCACCCTTTCCATTTCTGACTCAATTTTATATTTATTATTATAAAGCAAAACATTAAAACATAAATATTATATACAAAATTAAGAAAAAATAAATAAATAAATAAATATGCAAATATGAACACGAGAGAAGACATGCATACCTTTTGAGTTTGGGAATGGAAAAGAGAAGAGAAGAAGAGAACAGAACGCTGAGGATCCTTCTTCTGTCTTTCTGCTTCTTTCTACTATTCTTCTCTCTTTCTTTTTCCCTTTACTTTTTCTTTTCTTTTCATTTTTTCGGTTATTTTTCCTTTTTATTTTTTTAAATAACACACATAATTTAATAAATCTATAATTTATATTAATATATATAAGAGATATTTCTTTTAATTCAGATTTTGTTGATAATTATACTTTTTATTTTAAAAACTTAAAAAATAATATTTTTATTAAATTTAATATCTTAAAATTAATAAATTAATTATAATATCAAATTAACATATATTTATTATTTAATTTTTATTTTATTTTTAATAAAGATACAAAATCTCTCAACTTTATTAATAATATATAAAAGAAACTTTTATTTATGTCCACCTTTTAAAAATAAGTATACTCTTAAATTGTATTTTAGTTAATTTTTATTAATTTATATTTGAAAATAAAATAAAAATAAAAAAAAATTATATAATAATTATTCTTTTTAAAAATAATAATTTTTTACCTTTTTAATAAAAAAAAAACATTATTTTATTTTATTTTTTTATGGAAGCATATATTTTTTTTTATAAAGACATTAACATATCACTTTAAATTTGATTTGGTAACTCTAGTCTCTAAGTTAATATTTTTTTTACGTTACACTACATCAATCTTTAATGAATACTTAATATAGAATTTAATTTATGTGTTGTTTTGTAAAAAAATTTATACCAACATCCGATAAAAATTTTATCAAATCTTGTAAAAAATAAAATCATCACATCATTTTTCTATTTCTATTAGTAATACCACATATAATGCGGCAATGATGTAAAGTTTTGTTAAATATTTATATAAAAATATGAGAAAATAAAAAGTACAGTTAATTTAAAATGATTTTATATTATTATTAAATTAAAAAAAACTCATATATATATATATATATTGTTTTTTTATTAGCATGATATTAAATATTAATACGTAGTTTAATATTTAAAATAATAATTAATTATTACATAAAATAATAATAAGATAGATAATTTTTTTTCCATAAATAAAAGAGTCATTCGATAATTACAATTAATTAACAATATAAATCAATACATATTAATTAAATTCTTATCAAATACTTTACATTTGCAATAGATTTTTTTAATCAATTTGTTTTTAATGTAGAGTATCCGCTGAATTGATTGACATAGTGGAAAAATTAACTAATGACTTTTAATATAATTCTTTTTTATAAAATATAATAATTTATATTATATTTTTTATCTATAAAATTGATTGTATAAATTATAATAAATTAAATCCACTAATAGTGAATAAATTTAGCACATTTTAATGGATTTTTATTGTGGGGATAAAATTTGAGGTGTTGTGTAAAATTGGAGGAACACAATGAACAAAGAAAAAAGAAGAAAAAAAAAAGGTGAATAAAAATAATAGAAAAGATGAGAAAAATAGTAGTGATAGTGACGTGCATTGAGTTGAGAAGGTTCGAGCATGCAATTGCAGGTCCTGTGATGGCATCTTTCTTTTATCATTCGTCGAATTAGTGGCTCTGTCTCCACTTTCGGTTTCTGCTCCTCTTACGTGTCCTATTTCACACTCTTCTTTCTTTTTATTCTTTTTCCACTTTACTATTATCATCCTCCATCATATTTACTTTCCAATTTTTATTTTATAATCTAAAATAATATTTAATCAAATTATAAAATAAGTTTCACATCCATTAAAAATTGAATATATTAAATAATATATAATATAAATAAAGAAGATTCATTTATTTCATATTTTAAAATTTAGATAATATTACGATGCTAAACTCATTTATATAATTTATTAAACTTAATAAATCGACTTATTTATTTATATGATATAATACAAAAATTAATATATATATATATATATATATTATTAAAAATATAAATAAATAAATAAAATTATAAAATAAAAATATTAATATTTACATACTTTTTATATAATTATTTTTTTCATTTATTATAAGTCAGATTTTAGATAAATGTTTATAATTTGACCTTTTTAATATATGACCTAACCTGTTTAATAAAACATTGAATTTAGATTTTTGAAAAAGTTTATTTATATATAAAAAAAAACTAAACTTAGACTTATAAAAAAATTTGTTGAATCTAATAAGTCGACCTATTTATTTATATAATATAATAAAAAATTAATATACGTATTACTAAAAATATAAATAAATATACAAAACAAAAACAAATAATCAATATTTACAATATTTTTTTATATAATTATCTTTTTTTCATTATAGGTTTATAAATTTAAAACCTATGCACAAATACACGTCAACATACATGACTAAGCATGAATTGTTTCTCCAACAGAAAATGATTCATTTTTTTCCTATATTTATTTAAAATTAAAATTTTAATAATATTGAGTAAACTATATTTTAAAAATAAATTTATTTATATAATATAATAAAAACTAATATACATATATTAAAAATATAAATAAACAAATAAATTTATAAAATATAAACAAATTATCAATATACAAAATATTTTTTATAATTATTTTTTTTACTATAAGTTTATAAGCTTATGATGTGTGTGAATAGACATCAATATACATAGTTACACATGAATTATTCTTCAATAGAAAATGATTCACTTTTTCTCCTATATTTCTTTTAAAATTTAAATTTTAATAATATTAAGTAAATTATATATTAAAAATAAATTTGTTGGTTTTTTAAAAGTTAAATTCATTGATCAAATTAATATTATTAATATAAATAGACTAATAGGTCAGGTCAAAGTTTAAAAAAGGTCAGGTCAGACCTATGAAAAAACAAGTTCAACCAATATATTTTTACAAAAATTAAATTTATTTAATAAGTTTTAAGATTAACATAAATTGTTAAAAATAAAAGAAAAAATAAATTTATTTTTGAATTGAATTATTTAATATTAAATTATTAAATAATTAAAATTATAAAATAAATATTAATTAAATATTTCTAAATTTAATAACAAAAAAATTAGTTTCTAAAATTTATTTTTTATGCAGTTAATTCAATGATGTCGCTACGGCCTATAGTAACACCAATGTAGACCTACTTTTTTCTTCCAAATTATTTATTTTTGTTTTTTTTATATTATAATTTAAATGGGTATTGTTATAGGTCATAATGACTATTGTATTATATATAGATATCCTAACACTTGGATTTTGGTGACATTTGAAATCATACTCATAAGTATAATATTTGAAGCTCTATATTCAAATTTGTGAGTGCAATTTCATTATACTTGAAATCTATATTCAAATTTGTGAATGAAATTTTATTATACTTAAAATAAAAATTATAGTTATTTGTACTATTTTTTTTTTCCAAATATTATGGATCAAATTATAACTTATATTTACATTGGAATGATGTTTGAAAGTTCTAAAGGTGTTACATTTGATAGACCAAGAAAATGATTCATAACAAATTTTGCCTTCAGTCAAATCAAGTAATATTATCTGTAACTTATAGATTTGTAGTTTCGCACCATGAAAACATATATTCTTCATTGGAATTAAAATGCATGATATAAGCATTTCAGAGTCAAAATGTGATGCCAATAATGGAATTATATGTTGAAATAGGTATGAAAGAATCTTCAACAATTCTATTGGAAAAATTGTCAATCCAACAGTCAACATTGATGATAAGAGACAAAGATGAAGATGACGAAGCGAATAAAGACTATCATATTTCATTATCATATGAGAGAATCGATGAATCAAATGAAGATGAAATAGATGATTGTGAAGCATATGATAGTGAAGTAAAGTCAGATGTTATTGTTCGTAGTCCAATGGTTGAACCAATTTCAATTTATCCATCTACAAAAGGTAACATTTGAAAATTAAATTTGTGAATAATGTTTGTTACTTGTTTAAAAAAATTGAGTTGAAATTTATTTTATTAAAATTACTATATTTATTATTATGAAAATAGGTGAAAGTCAATTTTGGGGTAATTTACCCCACTACACTAACGTCAATTGGAATCATCCAGATCAGGAAATATTCCAAGGATGGATGTTCCTAATACTTGGTCAATTGGCCAAGATTTATATGTTGGGTTGGAATTTGAGAATAAAGATGTGGTAAAAAATGCAGTAAAGCAAAATGCTATGAGAATGTATCAAAGCTTTTATGTGGTTGAGTCGAAAAAGGCCAATGGGTTGTTACATGTTCAAATGCACATGACGGATGTGGATGGTACATAAGAGCCATTGAGTCAAAGAAATCTAAAAAGTGAAAAGTAACTAAATGGGGTAAAAGTCATACTTGTTTGAACATGTCTTTGTCACAGGATCATGATAAGTTAGATTAAATGTTAATTGCATCATTTATACAAGGTAAATTCTAAAAAGTTTATAATTTTTATTATTAATAATTTATATTACTGATTACTAATATTTAATATGTAGGAATGGTTAACCAATATCCAGCAATCAAAATTAGCCTCATCCAAGAGAGAATTTGGACCTAACAGTCTAACTTGTGGAGCAGTAGGTACAAAGTGGTATGCATATCGATTGCCCCAATGCTCTAATGCTGGACTTAATATTGTAGTCCAATCATCTTCAGGCTTTCCACGTAGGGTCAATGCATGCACATTACCAGGAATCATTGGAGGATGTGGAATTGGTTGTTGGTAACTGAATTGCCTTATGACCTTATTTGGCTGATGTCATTCACAAATACATAGGGAAAGTAAGGGGACTACCGAACCCCAAATACAAATCCCCTATGTGCAATCATCGGGCATCTGCTTAACAGATGGATACAGTTGCCAAATAATCTATAAAATATATATTTTAATTAGTATA